AAGAATATCTTTATGCCTCATGGTCATGTTTTACCCGTAGCCAGCAACCAAGCATCACGCAGCCGCTCACTCACTTCCCCCGCAGTGGGATGGGGGAGCGAATCGGAAAAGTGCGGAAACTCACGGGTTGAGATAAGAACAGTTTCATAATTGAAATAAAATAAAGTAAATAATAGTAGTAGTAGTAGTAATAGTAATAACAATAATAATAATATACAAAGCAAGTGATGCACGATGCAATTGCTCACCACCTGCTGACCGATGCCCAGCCAGTCCCCGAGCAGCGGTCACTGCCCCCCGGCCAGCGCCCCCCAGTTTATATACTGAGCATGATGTCATATGGTATGGAATAGCCCCTTGGCCAGTCTGGGTCAGCTGTCTTGGCTGTGCTCCCTCCCGGCTTCTTGTGCACCTGGCAGAGCATGGGAAGCTGAAAAGTCCTTGACTCAGCGTAAGCACTACTTAGCAACAACTAAAACATCAGTGTGTTATCAACATTATTCTCATACTAAATCCAAAACACAGCACTATACCAGCTCCTAGGAAGAAAATTAACTCTATCCCAGCCAAAACCAGGACAGTTACACACCACTTGCATGTCCATGCAAGAAGCAGAAGAGGGAGGAAGAAGAGGGATGCTGTCCCAGTTCACATCTATGATGTGTAGTGGAGGAAAATACATTTTGCTAAAACAGAAAACGTGTCCAATGACAGGAAAATTCACTTGTGGTACAACCATCTTCCCAGTGAGCTTATTACAGAGCATATGACACAGACATTCTCATATTGATATAGAAATGGCTCCTACAAGCTACTAGAGCCAGTAACGTATATTCTCCATTTCTTTGTACAGTTTACGAATCTGTTTCTCTCCACTACTGTATTAAATGTCGATGTTGCATTGCGGTAACGTATTAGCTGTCAAGAAAAGGTAGCACACCTCATCACAGTTTGTTCAGGTCTAACACTCTACCCAAACAGTATACCTGCAAATTGCCTGCTTGTCCCTAAAATGTTAACCCCATTTGTAACAGAATATAATTTAAAAAATAAACTCAATTGAAGTGATGAGATGCAATACTGATCCTCGAGGTGTAAGCACAGAAAAACAAATTACTTACCTTTTAATAACAGTTCTTTGAAATGTTTTAATTTCTGTGACTCCTGTTTCTGAAAGGATGTACCTACAACTTGTTCTCTTAGCAGTGACTCTGAAGACACAACTTCTATATATTCTGTGCAGGAGGTGCAAACTTATAGATGGAATAGGCCCAGTCTTATTCAATTCCTTCATTTTCATGGAAATCCAATGAAAGACTCAATTTGCATCAGAGGGGAAGGTGAATTTGGGGATCCAGATAGTCAAGCATGTAACCAACCCAAGCTACTGTAAACAAACACCCATCTTTTCTCCTTTAATCATTTGCCCACACAGCCTAGTAATCAAAGCTGGTTCACAGAGATGCAACTAACAGGAATCCAATCCGCGGGCACTTCTTGAATTAAGGCAAACAAAGCAATGACTGTACATACGCTCTTATCTCCCAGGCAACTCATCTATAGAATTAAGTACCCGAGTTCTTACTTTCTCTAACTGCATGAAAATGAGCTCCAGTGTTTAAGGATTCAGAGTGTCAATCCCTTACACAGAAGTCAAAAGCTAAGCATATTTGCAGAACAGATTTGTTACAGAAATATAAAAGTAAACATAATGCAGATGTACTAAATCATACAGAAAGATAAAAGTAACAGCAAGAGAAATTTGGCAACTGGGAAGTCATGAAGCTTAGGAATCCAATAGTAGTGGATGATTAAACAGGTTATGCAAAATTAAAATTACTTCAGTAAAAATTTTAGGTCTGGCTAAAAATGGGAGGGAGTTTTTTTCACAGGCTTGAAAACAACTACGGAGTAAGCAAATCTGCAGCACAGAGGAATCAACCAAATGACATCAGGAACTTCTTTAACTATTTTGACACTGAAGTCAATGTGTTGCCCTAACTCCACTCCAAACACACCATTCTTCTCATCTCAGTCTTCCAGGCAAGGCAGATTTTCAAGTCAGGAGACCAATTTATAACATTTCTTCTGTCACCTGTGTATCATAGTTCTAAGAGGAAACTATACATTTTCAAGCCAGTATGTTTTAATAAAATTTACCAGAAGATAATTACACTAACTGCCACTAAGAACCCTTATCTCTAAGTAGCAAGAACCTTAACAACAAGCCTAAGTCCAATTGTTAAGACTTTTCCATAAGTCAGATGAAATGGACAAAGTAGCTAAGCAGTTCCGTAATCAAAAGATACTACACCTGGGTATTAAGAAGCAAAGGTTTCTTCTTTCTTCTTCCTTTGCCTTTTTTTTTTTTTTGAATAGAGAAGAATCTATTCTTGCAAGCAAAATGTTATTAACTGCAATTAAGAGAAAGAACCAAGCTTCACATAACTTGACAGCATTATGTTCTACTAATTTCTAGTGAACAAGAATAGTATTTATATTAGAATCCATAGAGAGCTTTCAGATATTTTAATCAACGACATCCTATTATAACAATATTTCCAGTATCATTACACAAATTACATCGATATAATCTTTTCCATTATGTCTCTGCCTGACAATTAATACTTCTCTAGACTTCAATGGTATATGAATATTGTGATGGTATACATACATTATTCCATTTTCTTAAGAGGCAAGCAAATGAATCAACATTTAAAATACATAACAGCATGAAAGATTCTGAACTTACCTTCTTTTTTTGTGTTCTGTTCCTGCCTCCCAACCAATCATCCATCTGTTCCTCAATCTCTTCAATTGAAGCTCCATGATCATATGATGGTATATACGCACTTGACTCCAGAACTGCGTATACAGGGAATTCTGATTTTGGTTTCTTGATTTTGGGCTTCTTCTCCTCTATACAAAAGTAAAAAAGAAGAAGAAAAAGTAATGCTACTAATACTGCAGAGAAGTATAATTCAGAAGCAGGCTTAGCTCCTCAAGTCATAATGCTGTATTAAAATTTCCACTGAGGAAGGGGCTTCAATTTCTTTGTTAAAAAGAGAATTCAGAGTTTTGCATAATAATTTTATTTTTATGAAAAGTAAATAGAAATGCACACATTTAGCCCCTCTGCTATCTGAGCTATGCCTTAAAGGGCCAAATGAGGAGCCCCCTCAAAAATACAGTTAGCTCTCGTCACCGCTACGCCACCTGGCAATTAAGATTAGTACAGGCAAAAGCATAGGGAGTTGTTAAAAGATTTCAAAAGTCCAGCTGGCTTCAAAGAAACTGGCAAAGGTAGAAAGGTGAGTTTAAGACAATTCTGTATTGCTTTAAGGTCAGCTGTGCTGAGTAAAAGCTTCTGAGTCAATAGATAGCTTCTCTGTTCTCAGATTTCTGTAACTACAAATAGCTCTGTTCTAGCACTTACACATTTAGGAAGATTTACATGTTGGACCTCATTTCTCAAACTGATCCCTGTTTTCTGCTCTCTCTGTCCTTCAAATGTTATTAAATGGGAGCAGCAAACTTAGGGGACAGGAAGGGGGGGGACAACAACAGCCTAAACACCAGCAACTGAAAACATATCTGCTATATAAGAAGATCTCAAAAGAAAGATTTAAAGTTGATTGAAAATTGCCAGAACTTTAGGAAAGACAAGAGGATGAGGATCAGAAAAAGAAGCTTGAACACTCAGAAAGCATCCAGAAACCTCAGGTATGCTAAGTCGGACTCTCTTGGTTTTTCCTCATTGTTGTAAAAACATGCTGTATTCACAATAACTGGATGCTCCTCAGGATGCCATTGAACTGAAAGAGCTGATCTAATGGCTGGCTGCAGCCAAAAGAGGAAAGTTCTGCTCTGCCTCCACCTTTCCACTCTCCACTATGGGCTTATGTGCTCCTCTCTCTTCTATTTTTGCTTGACAGTCATCCAACCACTTAGCAAACTAATTCAATTCACTGATCTAGTAGAAAATTACTCCTTTACACTCAAACGAAAAGAAAGAATCCAAGTCGTTTAAAGGTGGTGGGCAAGGAAAAGGAGAACCACACTTCTGAGCAGCAGCGGGCCATTGGATCAGCTTATCTGCCTTTGCAACCGTGCCCTAATACTTTCTGAGCACCAGAAGAGAAATACCTGTTTTTCATTAAAACCTTCTTAAAAAAAAATCCTAAAGAGGACAGAAGGGCTGTTCCCTACAGACTCTGATGCAGAATTCCTTTTCCTAACAGTATATGTGCAGGAATAGAACAGTGAAAAGACTCCGCAAACTTGACAAACTCCTAGGAACTGAGTACTTAAGAAAACAATAAATGGAGAGAGAACTGTTCCATGCACCTTTCAAAAGTCCAAAAAGAACAGGAAATTCATGCAGATATTGAAAGGTAACAGAATGACTAATGATCTTTTAAACTTTTAAATATATCTTGTTCAGAGACCTCTTTTTGTGAAAAATCTCTAACTTTGCTTGTAATTGTCAAATTACTCTCAATAAATGAAATATTAAGTAAAAACTTTGTCTTTGAATTTTTTCTAGCATCCTTCTATAGTTATGCACAGTAAATATAGCTAAATAACATATACTCCCCAAAAAACAAAACTAAAAGAAAGCCCCAAAATGTTAACCAGCATTTGTCTCATTGTTCAGATGTTATTAAAGACAACACTGTTGCAAAATTCTTTTTGTCTGTTTCAAAAGGTAATTTTTATAACCAAATAACATATATTAACCGTTATCTCATTTTTCTCCAAAGTTGCCCTACGTAATAGCTTCTGGAGTCAGACTTAAGATTTGCAAGGATAAGTAACAATGGCTTCATCAGCCATTTACTGCAAACACATACACTGGCAAAAATATTCTAGGCAGCTACGTAAAATGACAATTTCCACTACTGTATTTCAATCCTGCAAAATAATCAAGCACACTGCGTGCGTTCACTTGGAATTATTTAACAGTGGAGACACACACAGACAGTTGGATTTTTCTGTATCTTGCACCCCATCAGCTACTGTTTGCTAATTTTCCCTCTCAAAATATGCAAATAGTTAAAGCCTGAATGCATCTAACTAACATGTAAAAATGAAGAGCCCAGCCTGCAAACAGGTCATCTAGGCTCTTACTGCAGTTTTAGAACTAATTCTGTAACAGTATTTCCAGAAGGCACTGCGCCCCACTTTAAAATGAGGTATCAAAGACAGCGTCTAGGCTTTCTCCAGGCAGTTAAGTGAGAGAGGAAGACCTAACATAGATAAGATACCCTGCTGTTTGCTGACTATCAAAGGAATGAGAAATCCCGCCTAGAGAAGATGGCTGTACAACCTCAAACAAGCACTCAACCAGAATTTAAAAACCTGTCTCTACTGTCTCCTGTGCATATACAAAAAGATGAAGGAGTTCAGCATACCCCTTACATACCACAATGGCTGTCATATTGAATTAAAAAAAAAAAAAAAAAAAAAAAAAAAAAAAAAAAAAAAAAAATAGAACCGAAGTCATAGCACCTTCGACATAGGACTCCCAACAACCCATTGAGAACAGTTTCAGCTCAGAATTTTCAAAAGCCACTTTTTAGAATAGAAAAACACATAAAAGTGGTTTAACGGTAACATCATAAAGGATTTTAGATAGGGGAAGTTCAGAAGTTATGTTCAGAGGTAATGATGTACACTATGAAGCCTCAACTTAAGGCAGCCAAGCACTGTTGTTCTTTCAGGTGAAGATGGAGAAAGCAAAACAGATCACGGAAACAGAAGTCCACAGCAGATACCTAAGAAGAAAACCTCTCTCTTTCCACGTTATCTTTTCATTATCAGCAATTCAACCGGCAGCCCAAAAGACACTTCCGACCTGCCCTGGTGCTTTCCCCTGAAGAGAATAAGGATCAGGTTTTCCAAATAGTAGACGATGCCTACACAGCTGAATCCTCCATCTGCTAAGGCTTGACAGACAGCCAGGAAGCTGGTGCTGCTGCCACCACCACAACCTACAGCGAGGATGTGTTTGATGGTGCTGACAGCAGCGACAACTGCAGCTGTGATTCAGAGTTTGGAAACACAAGTGTTGCCTTAATACTTGGTGTCATCTTCTAACGGTGCTGGGTTTAGACCACGCGGCCATCCACTATAACAGAACAGGCTTTTACAATGCATTTTTCTCCTCCAGCCTCCAACATTGTTCTAATATTGTTGCATATAAACCTAACTGAAATGCAGGAAAAACATACAGAAAAAGATTTCACAGGTTCCTCCCAGTTTTGTGACAGCCTACTCACTGTCCACTGGAGATGCAATCAGACCGCTATGCCCTATGCAGGCACCCATATGCAGTGGACCTTTACCATGACCAGAGTTACTGGTACTCACACAACTAAATGCAGTGGAGAGAAGTAGTCATGGTGAAACCAGAGCCTGACTTCAAGCTCAACACGGTAAACGAATAGCTTACTCTCACTACTATTTTCTGGGAACATTATGTATTTTAATTGCCAAATTACAGTGTAGTAACTTTTCTCATTTATTAAATAGAATAAAAAAAACAGGCAACAGCAAAACGTAAATGGATAATCCAAGATTGTAAATTGTTTGATATCTACCACTTCAAGGTATAATGATCAGTATTTTACATGAGTTATGACTTTTACAGAGTTCTAGTCCTTCTGTAGCAGAAAAAATTTTGTTTTATCATTTGCTGAATTCATACTGCAAGGATATTAATTTTCTAAGAGTAATTTCCACCTTTAGAACTATCAAGTTCTTTACCAGAAGACTAAATTTGACTGTGTATTTAACAACATAGAGTTAAATAAGAGAGATCTAATTTGTCCCCTATGTTTGAACAGCATATAAACACTGGGATCCCTAGACTTTAACAGATAACTATTAGCTAACTCTCTTACCTGCACAGTACTTCATGTGTCTAAAGGCCTCCAAAACTATTCCAGTACTGGCTATACATTTTACTAGTTTATGGTGCCATGATCCAGGTTTTGAAGTTTGATTAATTACTTGCACATAATCAGATACTTTGACCTTCCTCGTTAGTCCTTTCACCTTGTTACTACATTAATTTTATCAGTGGCAGAATTAATAGTATCTGGCTAATGGTTATTTGCTTTAAGATATATCAGCTGTCATTTTTAGAAGATAAGGAACCAGCTGGCATATTGGATCAAGTGCCATGTAATATAACAGTGGTGCTTTTTCCATAATAAATATCAGAGGTCCATATTTTAAAGTTTTCAGAAAAGTATACACTGATTTTACCCACCAGTTGATGTCAATGTAAAGAATTCAGAGAGTTTTTCACAGAAAAAAATGACCGCTTCATATAGAAAGAAACAAAACAAAACCAAGTGCTGAACTTCTGCAAAGAAAGTATGACACATCAAGATGAAGCTCCCTCTCTCTGCATGGCTTCTAAGTTTTAAGCATGAACAAGGATCACAGAAAATATGGTCAAAAAAGACAGTAATGAAAGTAATAAAAGGGACAGACTGACTGGTATCTCATGTGTTGGCAAGTAAGAAATATGATTATACACAGAGGTAGACAGCAAACACCTTTTCGGCAAGTCAGTAAGATACTGCATTGAGATCTCCTTTTCTTTCAAATATTGTTCACTTACATACGTAACTATGAAAGACAATCAAAGCATTTACAGCATTAAAATTTGTTTAAAACATGACAGAGAAATATTCACTTGCATGTACAGCAACAGGTAAAATACAATGGACCCAAAAGTCTGGGAAAAAATTGTGCTAAGGTTTTGACAGTCTATTGAAAAAATGGAGCAAACTATAATCAATATATGCAAATATGGGGCAAACACTCGTATGTTTAAAAAAATATACATTTCTGTACTCATAATAAAGCCAATGGGATTATATGAATGCATCATGAGTTGGAGACGG